TGGGTTGCCTGCGTACATGGGGGTACATCTCCCCGGGGCGACAGGGGTGGGTGGGCAAAGCAGGTTTTGAGACGCTGCTAACAAGAGCCTCTGGCTGCAAAACTTGCTCCACAGCTCCTAACAGGAGCTGCTGCCGCATCCCTGGCCCTGGGCTCTCCTCCAGCTGGAGGCAGACGGCAGGCAGCATGGAGGGAAGGAGGTGGCTCCTGCAGCACCTGGTTCAGCTGTGGAGACCCTGGCCCACAAACGGCTAGAAATCAGCAAAGCGACCTGGAAAACTATTGCAGGATGTTTGCCCTCCCCAAGGCAGCTCATCTGGAATCTAGGACACCAGGCTAGGGGAACCGTTGGTCTAACTCAGTGCATCCCACCACGTTATCGACCATATAGGAGCAGCCTGGGCATCTAGATGGTTTTTTAGCACAAACTCCCCCCGAGTTCACAAAGCTGAGCAGAGAGGCTCATGCAAGCTGTGTGTGTGTGCTGGTAGCTCAGAATAAGGAGACAAAACTTCCCTCTAGCGGCTATATGGCACATAAGTCTCACAGTTACCTTCTCTCCCCACGCCAAGACTAACAGCGCTGTTTTCACCAGCTCTTAGGCTCAACACGGATCCTAAGTGCGTCAAATGTCTTACAAACACACCGAGGCTACGCCAGGCAGCTGGCAGCGCGGTTCATGCACAAGCGCGTCCCGGGCACCAGAGAAGCCACGCAGCCGTGAAACACCACCGGCCTATTTCTGCAGCAAGGATGGCTGCTGCAGAAAATAAAACCTTTTTATTACAGGTCTTTTTCCCAGTCTCAGCCTCATCACCACCACAGCAGCAGTCAGCGCAGATCCTAGATTGTGCTGCTCAAATCTTAACCATAGGACAAGCACACACATTAGAACATACATTTCCAAAAGGACTGAGAGTTTCCACTTTTCCATTTACAAATTAGGGAGCTTATTCACACCCTGTCAAACCTGCACCCTACAACTGGGCCACCGAATATTGAACCAACTCTGTTGTCCATGACCAAGATGCTCTGATGGTGCAGCGTCTCAGACTACAGGGCCATCTGCTGTTATAATCTGTAGTAATACAGATTATAATCTGTATACAGATCATACAGGAATACAGTAGGAAATAACTGAAGCTTCCCCGCTCACAACAGCGTTTCACTGGCACAGTCCATCGGACTCGCTTCCTGGAGAAAACACAGCGGTAACATTTTCCAGGGCTGCAGCAAACCCCGTCCTCCGCAGCAGACCTGGGAATACCTCCCAGGAGGGTGTGCAACTTTCAGCTTTGTACGCCCTCTGCTATCTCCCTGCCATTGCACACGCACACACGTACACGTCTAGCCAGCCCTTTGCTCCTCTGCTCCTCACGCAGACGCAATACAGCACTAGATCACTGACACCAAGTCAGTAATTTCTGTGCCAAGTGGTCTCAGCCTGACACAAGGGTTGAGGTGTTACGGTGTGCACTTCAAGGCACATGAACACACCTACAGAAAAAAGCCCTTGCTCCCTCCATCAGTCCATTCCACCTCTGCCAGGGCCAGAAAATGCAGTCTCTTGCAAAATGGCTGCACGTGGTCAACTTTGCCTTTCCAGTTTGGGTCTTATTTAAAAACCTTTCCAATGCATGCAATGCAAGAAATGCTTTCTTTTCTTGACTTTGCCATTTCTGTCTGTCTTAAACCCTTGGAGAAGTTCTTAGCTTGGGATTAATCGCATGATGGGTTGAAAAAAAACCACTCAAAATCACAGGTAGTGACTACTACAGCCTTTACTAGAGACTTCGGTCTTTTAAGCTCAGAAAGAGGCTCAGGTGTAGATTTGGAAGCTTTGGAAGCCTTGAATTTCACGCCTGTTGGCCATTACTCACCCAAGGATCTTATATTATAGCTATATTAAAAACTAATACAGCAACTTCTTCAAAGCAGGAAGTGAATAATGAATCAAAACTGCCCTTATTTCAGCTAAGAGAAAATGATGTAGAACAGGAATGCTATCAAATAGAAGGGCGGCTCTTTATTAAAGGTGATTTGCTGTTCAGATTCTAACAGCCCTGTCCACACCTCCTCCGATTACTCCCCTGCTATGCACACACCCACAGACCCAATGCAATCGGAAACAAAAAGACGACATTACCAAGGAGCAAGACCATCTTCTTGCAGCAGAGCCCCAGGAGAAGGTGCCTCTTCTAGAAACATCTTGTAAATTCCCTGAATGGACAGGAGTTCACACCCAACGCATATGAGTCACTGCTAAAATAGACCCCAACAATAAAACCTTACTATCTGCCTTTAGTGCTTAGCGGAACACTGTTCATGTCCAAAGAATGGGCTGAGAAAGCATGGAGTGACAGTGAATATTACAGCAACAGGGTCCTACAATTACACTAGCAAACAGATTGTGCAAGAGCCCTTTATAACTAACCAAACCTCCGTATCAGGTCACGGTTAAGGGTAGCACAGAAAATTGCTACTGGCCCTGCCCAAAAAACTGGTCTTCCTCAAACAGAGAGACAGGTTGCGTACTCTACTTGCCTCCATCTCTTTGGCAAAGGAGGGAATGCTTTCCAGCTTCAGCAGGCTGACGGGAAGACGCAAGGTGGCATAATGGATAATTAGTGCTAAGGGCAAGTTAGTGCCAGGGATTTGGTGTGAATATGGGACATATTTCAGCGTTGCTCCTGGGAAGCTCCTGGCTGTCTTCCGTTTACTTGCCTACCTGTGCAGTGGTGGTATGCTGGTAATCCGTGCACAGGCTGCACGTGACTTAGTCCTGCTGCAGTATGCCCTTGCCCGCAGATGCACTGGCTGCCTCTGCTGGGAGTGAAAACAAGAGAAGCTCAAAGCACGATTGCTTTGGGATTCTTTTGTTGAAGGCAGGTTTAAAAAATGAAACCAGCTGTAGTCCTTAAAAGCCAGATTCTTACCAACACTGCTGTGTTAAAGCTGCTGTGCGTATTTACACCAATGCATGTTTTCATGCATTGTCACTTAGCAATTGAGAAACCAGTTGGTGGCTCTAGCTCTGTTACTATGCAATTCCATCTTGCTTTTAGTGGAGAGAGCGGCTTTCCTGAAATGGGAACAAGAGCTATTTTTGTCCCTTCAAATACCATTTGTAGAGTTACCTGACTAGCTGCCAGCCTGAGAAAAATTAATTCTATAAAGCATGCAATAATTCCTCTACACTACTCAAAAAATAAAACCGTGTTTATAATATCTTACTCCTCAAGAAAAACATCTCTAAGACAGAAACACAGCAACAGGATAGAATTAATATATCAATTAAGAAGCACAAAATTCCCAGAACAAATCTAGTCACTATTTTTTAATCCTGAGAAAAACACAGGCCACAGTATACATCTGTGTAAGGAACCTCACACACAAAACTAACAAAGAGAAGTTTGTTTTAGACCATCAGTCCTATTCTCTTTTCTTGATGGACAAGCCTGTGTAAATTCCACACAGATTAGAAAGCACTGGGCCATGCAATTATAATGGTGGAAGGCATTTAAAATGCATTTACTGAGAAGAAACGTTGATTGTCATCTGTCTCCTGATGTCAATATAGTCCATTACATAGCCCCCCTTCTGTCATTTTATTTCAGACTTCAAAAATACAGCATGCTGCACTAAGTCACAGGATGGGAAAACGGCTCGTTCTACTGAAGTACAGGGCTCCATTTTGGCAATCAGTTATTGTCGTTCAAATGGCCCAAGTCCTCATCTTGCATCAGTGCCAGACAGGCTTGACTATCACACTCCCAGGACGTCTCCAGATCCTGTCTGTAGACAAATCAAATTGGTAAAAGAAAAAGAGACAGGACCACCCCATCCAGGAATCCCCCTGCCTGCTGCTGGCTTGCTTCACCCACAGGTCAGCATCTACGACTTGTCAGAAACCTGACCAGGTCTCAGTTCTCGTCCAAGTCCGCTTTGCTCAAGCTCTGCTATAACTGACATATATTTAAATTCACTAGATCTGTGGTTGAAGGTCTCCACTAATTCGTAGGTCTCGGAACGATCCGTTGCATAGAAAAGCTGCACCTGATTTGCCAAGCACTGTGCTTCACGGACCACCTGCAAGTTAAAACAAAGAATTTGTTACCATTTGGTTTTGTTGTATTTGAGTATCCCGTTGAAAAAGACTCTTCAGCAGCTGAAAGGCTGCAGTCCTACTCATCAAATGACTCAATTCCAAGTCACCTTAGTTTTGCAAATCTCTTAACAAACCACCTCCCTCTCGTTCCTGCCCTACTTACACGCTTTAGCACTGCGCCTACAAACTACTCTCCTGCTGAGCATACACCTCAGAGGTCAAAGATGTCTTTCATGATCTCTGCCCACTCTAAGGCACTGGAGGTGCACCGAAGTCTCATCTTTCCCTTCTTATGGTTGACCTATTTGCAAAAATTGATTGCCTACTCTGAGATACAACAGGGCGAATGCATTCGCAGTGACTCCTCTGTGCAGTTTCAGAACTGGTGTAAGTAGGTCAGGTAGAGGTGGGATGCTTTAGTGATCTCATTCCACCAGTATAATCCCTAGTGCTGTTAGTCCTAGCACCATACTATTACAGATACGCCAATAACAGCACACCCATACAGAGGGAAAAGAGCAAAAGGCACGCAGAAACCTAACACAAAGCTCTCAAAGTTTCCTGATTTCATAAGCGGTATTAAGCTTCACTGTTTTAACTGGTTGGCAGGTAGCAACAGCTTTCATTTAAATTTGCTTCCATTAGTAAGAAAAACAGAAGCACTTCCATTTTATTTATTTTTTTTTACAACAATGAACTACAATACCCAGAGTAAGGAGAAAAAAAAAAAAAAGAACGTATGAGCTGAAATCACCAGATAGCCAAAGACTGATGATTTCCTTCTAGCTTTCCCCAGTAGTAAACAGATTAGGTTAAAGAAATCTAGTAAGACCACTCTTTGGGAAAGGGTCTTATAAAGACTTGACTTTAATTTGGTTTTAATTCAAAACTATAGCAGCAGTTGCAGCATAAAATGAAGGAAGCCAATGAACAGATTTCTCTTGATTTCTCTTACCAAGAACTTAGAGTCCATTTCTGCTGTCATTAGTACTATCCCTTTTTCCTTCTGCAGCTCAGGATAATGGTACAAGACCAACTGGCTAGGAGCAGTTTCACCTTGGGTCTGAAGGAGATAAAGAAACCTGTCAGTCTCCCATAAAGAACTTCAAGCCTCAAAATCGGCAATAGAGCCGATTACAAAATTTTGGAGTATTAACTGCTATGGAGACAGCCATTTTTCAAGGCTTAAGGGTCAGTTCTAATTAAAAGTTCATTATTCCTGGTATTTAGAGAAAACAAGGGATTTGCAGAGTTAGGTTGTTTTTTTTCTTGACTAAAGACCATTTTGCATTTAAAATAACCCGCATTTCCAGAAAGACATTTAATCTCGTAGCATCTACTGGTATTTTAAGTAGTTCGCACAAACAATTCTAAAACGTTTGGCTCTTGCTTCTCTTTTGAGACTACTTGACTTCTACCTCATTCTCCTTTAGATTAAAGAGACACTTAATACACATAAATTTACTAGTTTACCCGTAATTAATTTACTAATTTACCCATCATTAACAGCACTTTTCCCCTGATAATTCTTTTCAAGTTAAGCTAGACAACCTGTTCGTTAAACTATTTAGCAAGTATTATATATTGTAATGTGCTGATATTATATATTTCTGGATCCTAAGCTATTTTTTGACTTTTTATTTCGACCGCTCACCTGAATGTTTATTAGGGAAGTGAAGTGCAATTCTGTTCCTGACCACTGCCCCACAAAGAACTCATAGCCTTCTTTTCTTGGCAAAGCATATAGAAACTGCAGAGAAAAGAGGAAAAAACAACAACTCTCCCTTTCATAGAGCAAAATGATGCCGGTGTCACACTGGCCTCCAGCATAAATGCTTTAGTGAGAGAACCACAGCAGGAAAAAGGGTTTCTTTGCCCCACCAGGAGTGATAGGACAGCAGGAACCAGACTTCAAAGCAGACAATAAACCAGCATTACCTTATCAGTATTATTTCATTAGCAAATATGTTGGCACGTATTTTTATCAGTATTATACGAGACAGACAAAAGGAAAGGACAGGGGAGAACATTCACACGCTGACCTTTTTGTTCGCTTCTAGAAAATTAACAGCAGAAATGGTTAAATGTAAGACAAGGAGCATTCAGAGTTTTTAATGCTGTAATTTCACCAACTGTTCCAGAACAGGCAGCAAGTATTTTCTCTCTAGAGATTTATGGTCTATTCGGCTCCATAGGCTAGGGACTCGCTCATTGTCCCACACCAAGGGAAAGGACAAGATGGGAGCAGAAAAACAAGCAGGATACCTGACGAAATGCCAATGCACTGTACAGAAATGCACTCAAAGCTATAAATAACTTTCCAAGCTCCGAGTAGCTCGAGAAGTCAGATATATTTGATCTTGCTCTTGGCAAGTGAAATATACAGGACTACTCCATCAATCCAGTAAAGTCTCCCATTCGGATCTACAAAAGCACTCAACGCAGCGAAGTCTACCTACTTTGTTTTCATAAAGGAGTGAAGCATTTAATTTCTGTCTCAGCACAGTGAAATTTGCACAAAGTCCATGCTTTGGTGCACAAATTACTGTAAAAACACACTACTTTCAACAGAAAACAATACTAATCCAACAGCATGTGCTACGAAACTGCAGAATGTACTCTTCATCTTGTTAGCCGTTCTGCTCTTTTGCAGTTTAACAACCATTCACACAGGAATCTTCTAATCGAAGCTTAGAAGACACCCACCAACCCACATGAGAAACAGTGAACCGGAATCTTGGGAATCCACTCATTTCTGAAATAACCATATTAAGGATTCTCGGTATTTTATGCTTTGCTGTGCTGGCATACACCTAAGACACAACCAACAGCGTATTTACTCTGTATCTGTAATAAAGGGTTCAACTACACCCAATTCCCCCCTTCCTTTCTCTACTACAGCTGTTTACAGCTGTTGAATTACGATGCTCTGCAACAGAACTTACACTACTCAATTCTGCAGTGCCATACAGTCTTTCTTGACAATTTACACTCCCATAGAGACAGAGATGCATTATTTACACAGCATACTGCCTGCCCAGTTTGGCTTCCATGCAAATACCTCATACTAGCTTACCAATATTTACCTATCACTGATCACCAGTGTGGAGAAGCGGCTATGCACATTTATGATCAGGAAACACAAGCTAATAGATGACAAGGTTCAGCTCGTTCTGTGGACAGAACCCCAGCATATTGATTTCTTCCCTTTTCCCTTTCAAATACTCCTGCCTATCTTCACTGCCAGTAAACAAACATAAAGAGGAGCAACTCACACCAAGCACAAGGTAAGAGAATTCTCTTTCTCCATGTACACGCAACGTAATGCCATGGTGACACATAGCTACAGCTAACAACAGTTCCTCCAGGTTAAAGCAAGGATGCTTTAAGCAATAAGGAAAGATATGCAGGAACATCAATGAAGCTGGCCTGCGAGGCTTGGCTCTTCACAACACTGCATGGAAAAGATTCAACCACAAGACATCAATTAACGGAAACCGGAGGCGTGTAGCTAAATCCATTCCCTGGGAGATTCTGTGCTCTCATTACTAAACCCTACATCTCTTAAATCTAGGTATCTGATACCTAGATCAAACTGTTTAATATGTATGAATAGCCATTGCTTTTATCTGAACACTAAGGCAAGTATTTGAACACCTGGATTTTACTTATTGAACTGATACAACTAGTCTGAATACCGGAGGGTCAAAAGTTTATGAATTACGCTTTAGAGAGGAGAAACGCATTACAGCTACACATCCACACATTGCGAGCCTCTGCCATACGTACCGATGGACACTTCTGGGCTCTCTTCCATATTAAATCAAACTTGCCTGCCTTTGGGGAAGGAGAAAGAGAAATTCAATTTTCATAACACAAACGTGGATGTACAGTTATTCAGAATCATCTCATTAACCTTTACAGGGTACAACTTCCATCTACAGAAGGTCTCACTGCAGGAACGACTAACAATGAGCACATGGAAAACTGTATTTAGTTCTTAGTTACCTAAATGTCACCGGTATCCCATGTTAACAATGCTGTCTCTAAGATGCAGCAGCAATCTCCCTGGATCCAAAGCTTTATTCCTTGGAGGTGGGGGGCCCACATTTTAGGCTTACATTATGTCCTCTTTCAGTAATAGCTCCACTGCATCATGTGGTGTCAACAGTTGAGCAAGACAACATATCCCTGGCCCCAAATTGTAGATTTTACATCATAGTCATCTGTTCTTCAGTATTAAAATGCAGCCTAGCTATTTACTCAAATAACATACTTATTGCTTAGGCTTATATTAAAACCACAAACATATCTGGCCATCCCTGATGAAACCTGGCAATCTCATTCACGTGTCCTCTGCGTTCCCCCAAATGTTTTGCCTGCTCTTCTCTTCCCAGCACCATGTATTAATACCCACTCTAAGGTGTTCATGAAAGAAAACATATGCCATTCATCAACGTGAAATTCCTCCGTGTGTGCTTTTGAGCACTCCAGAATTATGCGAGGCCTTTCGTCCAGCCAACAAAAAGCTTCTGGCAAAAGACGTAGTTTCTTCCACCGATGACACCATGAACTACTTCCTAATGTGCCTAGGATCTGGTTTGCATTAAAGCCTTAAAAGCGTCCAAAGCTCCTCTAGAACAGTGCACCAAAGAACAGTGCCAGCCCCACTAATGAAAGACCTACACCATCTTAACTGGAGTCCCTGGCTTTGGCCCTCTGCTACAGTAAACGTGCAACTCAAACTATTTTCACAACACCCACATGTTGGGAAAACTGAAACATGAAGTTGCTTGACTTCAAATCCCACATTGCCATTTTCGGAGCATACAGCACTTCATACATTTAGAACGCAGCCTCCCATCGCTTCAGTTGCAGGTCAAAGGGCCAAGTACAACTGCAAATCAGACCCCAGATCTAAATGAGGTTTCAAGAACTCAAGAACACACAGTTCGTGCCCAGCTGCGAAAAGACAGATTTAAGAGATCATGATCACATAGAGGCTCTGAAGCAAAGAATAAAAAATCCCAAAAGCGAAAAAAACTCCTTCAGCCTAACGCAGATTAACAACAATTAACATCTGGTAAAGTTATCAGGAATAAGAAATACGATCTTATCACAGGAAGCACACATCCACACATTGCGAGCCTCTGCCATACGTACCGATGGACACTTCTGGGCTCTCTTCCATATTAAATCAAACTTGCCTGCCTTTGGGGAAGGAGAAAGAGAAATTCAATTTTCATAACACAAACGTGGATGTACAGTTATTCAGAATCATCTCATTAACCTTTACAGGGTACAAATTCCATCTACAGAAGGTCTCACTGCGGGAACGACTAACAATGAGCACATGGAAAACTGTATTTAGTTCTTAGTTACCTAAATGTCACCGGTATCCCATGTTAACAATGCTGTCTCTAAGATGCAGCAGCAATCTCCCTGGATCCAAAGCTTTATTCCTTGGAGGTGGGGGGCCCACATTTTAGGCTTACATTATGTCCTCTTTCAGTAATAGCTCCACTGCATCATGTGGTGTCAACAGTTGAGCAAGACAACATATCCCTGGCCCCAAATTGTAGATTTTACATCATAGTCATCTGTTCTTCAGTATTAAAATGCAGCCTAGCTATTTACTCAAATAACATACTTATTGCTTAGGCTTATATTAAAACCACAAACATATCTGGCCATCCCTGATGAAACCTGGCAATCTCATTCACGTGTCCTCTGCGTTCCCCCAAATGTTTTGCCTGCTCTTCTCTTCCCAGCACCATGTATTAATACCCACTCTAAGGTGTTCATGAAAGAAAACATATGCCATTCATCAACGTGAAATTCCTCCGTGTGTGCTTTTGAGCACTCCAGAATTATGCGAGGCCTTTCGTCCAGCCAACAAAAAGCTTCTGGCAAAAGACGTAGTTTCTTCCACCGATGACACCATGAACTACTTCCTAATGTGCCTAGGATCTGGTTTGCATTAAAGCCTTAAAAGCGTCCAAAGCTCCTCTAGAACAGTGCACCAAAGAACAGTGCCAGCCCCACTAATGAAAGACCTACACCATCTTAACTGGAGTCCCTGGCTTTGGCCCTCTGCTACAGTAAACGTGCAACTCAAACTATTTTCACAACACCCACATGTTGGGAAAACTGAAACATGAAGTTGCTTGACTTCAAATCCCACATTGCCATTTTCGGAGCATACAGCACTTCATACATTTAGAACGCAGCCTCCCATCGCTTCGGTTGCAGGTCAAAGGGCCAAGTACAACTGCAAATCAGACCCCAGATCTAAATGAGGTTTCAAGAACTCAAGAACACACAGTTCGTGCCCAGCTGCGAAAAGACAGATTTAAGAGATCATGATCACATAGAGGCTCTGAAGCAAAGAATAAAAATCCCAAAAGCGAAAAAAACTCCTTCAGCCTAACGCAGATTAACAACAATTAACATCTGGTAAAGTTATCAGGAATAAGAAATACGATCTTATCACAGGAAGCACCACGCAATCTCAATGAAAGACAGTGCTGCCAATAATTTTAAATGTATGAAAGTAAGTCATAAGTGATTAGCCACGTGCAAGTTATTAGCCAAGTGCTCTAATACTGCCATATTAAACTTGAGTTAGCAGTCCATGCTGCAGGGAAGAGGGGAAAGAAATGAGCAACTCGGAAAAAATGATTTGAAAATACAAATGGTACCTTCATAGATACTAGGGCCCTGCAAAGAGTATTGGATACTCGTAATAAAAAAAATGCCTGGAAATTCAAGCCAGGTGTGCAGAAAAAAAAAAGTACTAGCTATATTGAGACTGATGTAAGTGAGAAAAACAGGGATAGACATTTTTGGAAACAAAAGCCTTTATTTGGGACAATAAAAATCACTCAATCAGGAAAGAAAGTTTGTTCTTGAAACCTCATTTTCCTTCAATGATTGCCTTTAAAAGCAACAGAATCACAGTTAGAAAGGAAAGCTTTGCACGTTGGCCTTTCAAGTGCATAACTACAGGGGAACTACTTACAGGAATAACAGCATAAACTGTATCTTTTGCAGAAAAATACTGATTCCAAATCTGCAGGAAACAAAGGAGATGAGCTACAGTTAAAAACCAAGCATCTAGCAGTAATATTAAATGCTTTAAAAAGAATTCCATTTGTCAACTAACCTTTGTAAGCACTTTGAAAAGTCATTTTTCAATCAAGCCTGACTGCCTTTCCTGCTAAAGCAATACACTTCTCCTAAGGTTCCAGAGTACTTGTACCAAATGACAGATTTCAACTAGATTACAGAAATAAGCAGTGGGCTCAGAGGTGGCTGCTCTTCCCCAGTCCTACATAACTAATGAGAATTGTCAGTAAAACGTTTAATCAACGAAACAGAAATAGAGGAACTCGAAGGAAACTCATGAGTTATCAAATTCACTCCCTGCTATAACTGGTCGCACACCATCCCCTGCAGAGCACACAACCACTTCTATAATGTTCTCGAGCTATCGGGAAAGCAGCTAGATTTCTGCTCTCTAAGTCATGCCGGAAGGCTCCTTCATATGTGTTGCTCCCCTTAAATGATCACACCTACATGAAGTTTCTTGGCATACAGTCTGATTAGGAAAAAAAACCACCAGATCCAACTCAAGCTACATCAGAAATGTGGAACAGATGTGACTTGTAACTAGATAAAAGGGAACACAGCGCAAAGCCAAGCAGGTATTAGGGAGAATAACTTGATTCACACTGTTCTTCAAACAAACAAACAGACCCACCCACCTCCTTCTTACCCTAACCATCTTTAGTATGGGTACAGAGACTCCTGAGGGACAGATAATGCAAGCAAAGATAGAAGATGGCAAAGCTTTGTTTTTATTCCTGCAGAACAGAGGTAGCATAATCCACATGACCTACTGCTAGGGTTTCCCTTTACCTGGCTTCAAACCTGTGAGGAGCTTGCTGATGCCAATTCAACTGCTACACATTAAATGACAAAAATAGGAATTACAATAGAGACAGTTTTTGAGCGATCAAGTCCAGATGTATTATTTATCAAGCGGGTACATCCTAGGTGGACTTACCTATATGGAAAAAACTTTATCTTCTACTATTGATATGCACGTGAATGTGCTTTTTATAAATATAACATCCATAGCCATGTTTTATTTTTCAGTATAAGTAAAATTTCCATCCTCACATGTAGAATACTATTAAGCATAGATGTGGAGCAAACTGTATTCCATTTAAATCCATCACCTGTTTTATCTCCTCTGCTGATTTTTCTTTCACCATCTCAACATTAAGAATCGAATCAAGTGTCTGCAAGAGAAAGCATAAGGAATTGGGCATGATGACAGTTCTGATTCAAGTGAGAATCCAGAATGAACGGATGCAATTACAGAGAACAAAATCAAGCTGGAGGAACTTAATTCAATTTACAATGTGACTTAATCCTCTGAATTGCCAAAGAAACTAGTAAACCATAAGCGGCAACACACCGAGAAGTGGATTCACACACCGAGGCAGAATAGAAGAGATTCTGTCAGGACACAGAACACACTTTGCTTCAGTTCTGCAGATCTCTACTGAAGCTGCAAGAGGAGCTGCAGCCTTTCCCCTTCAGCCATCTCAGACATACTCTGTTGGCAGATTTACACAGAAAGTTTGCCAAAATACAAGAATGTGAAAGAATAAAACCATTCTCTTGTCCCTCTGCTGGCTGATCTTTGGAAATATATTTACACGCTGTAAAGGCAGCTTAACCCTTTCAATTTATTACTGTCAGCATTCAGTACAGATCCCCTAACTAGTAGGAACTTCCAGGATGTCAAGAGAGAAAGGACTGGATAATAATAAACGAGACTGCTGGGAGTTTCAAGACTTGAACATGATCCCAATAGTAAATGAGTATCTCGCACTCAAGTGCAGCATAAGGAACATCAGTTTTATCTCAAGAAGCTCTTGGCTGGAGCACTGATGGTAGCGATATAAGTTAATCTACATCCTTGATTTGCCAGCAAGTCCTCTCCTAACACTTAGGTTCGTTTCCCTTACCTTATCTTTTGTGAAACCTCCCTTTGATGTCTTTGTGCCCAAGCCTTCTGCCTAGAAGAAAACATTCTTCTTTAGTTCTTATAGCTGATGCTTTCATACCATATTTGCCTTCCCTGCCACGCATAACACGCCTGCTGACAAGATCTCCTGAGTACGAGCTCAAATTTAAGATACTTAAGAGATTGCTGCAGTGCATTTTATTAAAATAAAATATTGATTAGGAGAATAAGAAGGTAACTTCATGTGAATTATGAATTGCAAGATCAGAAAGGATTAGATTGCAGGATCAGAAATGCATAATAGCAAACTATTATGCATTTTGGATCCAATATTCTTGAACAGCTTTCTTCCATTCACTACAATTATAAATGCAAGATCATGTCACTCCATCTGGCCAAATTAATCTGGAACTAATTGAACACTTAAATAAGGCCTCAAGCACAGAATTTACAGCCTAAAAATTAGCAAAATAACATGCTGGAATACAGAACAATATTTTTAGCCACCAGAGCATGAAATTCTGGGGCTCCTTACTAACAAGAACATTGTATGTTTGTAACATTCTGCTGATCCTATATAAATGACATTATAGCTTTAATATACATGAACTACAAAGAAAATTGGCCTTGCCTTTTCCTCCATGCATCTGATAAATTCTCCTTGATTGGAATATCCCACAGGCTGCTTTTTCACTTCATTTCTTTTTTCCATACGGGATTCAAACACATCTGGACTGGATCTGAATCGGAAAAGGGACTATTAACAGTACTGGGTGATTAACACCATTTGCCCTTTTAAAATGGTTTACCGCGGTACCGATTCACGTTCTTAACTTAAAATTTTAACTTCTCGTTAGTAAAACAATCTCTTATCGAGCTGATCATGTTGGGAGACGAGTCTCTCACTGACCTGGCGGCAACAACGTAAGTGAATTTCAAGGCAGCATTTGGCCTAAACGAATTCATTTTCTCATGAGGGCACAAAGCTAAAAAAGACCTCCCTCCTCCCGCAAAAACCCAGCTCC